GGAGCAGAAGATAGTCACAAGTGAGAAAGCTTCTGTGGAGATCTGCATTGTCACTCTGTGTGCCTTTGCCTGCCTCTATTTCTTACTAGAAAGGAGCCTCACCCACCAGTACAGCAGAAATGCTGCTCTGAGGCAAATAGGGGCCTCCATCTCCTCCTCGGAGCTAGCAAGCAAAGGAACCTGAGGTTATGAACCTAAGTGTAGCAGGTAACATCCTCACTCTGGATGGAATACTGCACGAGTTCAACAGTCAATCTCAATAGAGACCAGTGTACTTCCTCATTTATGCTTTATAAACTACCCTGTAAATCTTGAGAGCGGAACTTACCACTGTTGCTTTGGAGACTCCCAGTTCACAAACTGTTCCCTTATAAGCACAATAAACTCTTATATTTCTTTTCTTACTTGCCCTGATTTTATTTTGACAAGGCCCTCCATGTATCTTGGGCTTCCCACAGCTTGGCAATCTCAGGGTAATAGTACTTTTCACTGGGCAGCTGTCCTCTAGGGTGGAGGCAGCCAAGAGAAAGAAGTGGACATTCTTGTGGTTTGGATCCAGAAGCTCACACAGTTTTACTTCAGCAGCATTCACAGGCAGAGGAGTCACGAAGCCCTCCTAGCTCCAGGAGTGGAGAAACAGGACTCTCCTTCCTTCTCAATACATCACAAGAGGAGCTGTCAAAACATTTTTGGACATATTTAATTCGTCATGCAGGGAAAGGTCAGTTTGTAGTAGAAAGATTAGAAAAAGACTTTACAGGGAAAATAGTTGTAGATTAGCTGGTTTTTAAAAGGTAAAGAGCATTTAAAAAAGTGGTGTGGAGATGAGGCCAAAAATATCAAATATCTAAATATAAAACAGTAACAGTTGTGGTCAGGGATTTTGCTCAGTGGTTCTGCCACCTGCCTCACAAGCACAAGGTTCAGAGTTTGATCCCTGGTACCAAAAAAACAAAACAGTAACAGTTGCGATAAGACTTTCAAAATGCTCAACAAAACAAGAATTATATTTCTTTCTCAACTTGTTTTTCTTCAACAACAAATTTACAGTGGGAATAGTCTCAGCTTGAGCAAGTCACTTTTTCCTGTTCAGAAACAGACTGATTCAACTGAAAAGACAATTTTTCTTTCAGTGAGGTCATCAATGGAAGCGTGAATATGACATTAAATAAAGACTTTATGAGACTAATTGGGAGAGGTCAGTCAGAGTTCAGTGTGTGTTGAAAGATGTTTAATGTTAAAATTCTCCCAAGGTGCAGGGAAATATTTGTAGTTACCACTGAAATAAGATACAGGGGAGCAAAACAGGAGCAGGATTCAGCAGCCACAGATCCAGCTGTGTGAGTTTAGTAAGGCACTCCATGGCCCTGGAGGGTCACAGCTATAAATTTTAGTCTTTCAGGGTCTCGTGAGGCTTTGCTCAGAAAGGTTTAATCATTATAAACATAAATTGTCTGAGCAAGAAGAGGTTTCCCCTGGATTTGTAGTTCACAGGTAAACAGCTTTCTAGGTTAATTACAGTGTGTGTGTGTGTGTGTGTGTGTGTGTGTGTGTATGCACACACATGAGGTCTTTATTGTACTTGCAGCCCAGGCTGAGCATAGTGTCTAGCACTTGGTAGATGCTTAATATTGCTGAATGAATTGTATCCATCATATTCTCTCAATACCAACTGGAATATACTACCTTCCACAGTGTTGTTCATATAATATTAAAGTGGGAATGGGAATATTTTAGATACACATACTACTTAAAGAGTAACCATTCCTGTCTGGAGTACGCATAGCTCTAGTGTGTTTGGCAGTTCAATCTGCAAAAATCTAACATTTCCTTTCTTTTTCCCTCTCCTCTCCTCCCCTCTCTTCTCCTTTTTTGACCCTGATCTGTTTTGGATTTATCTAAGGGAACAAACCTCGTGAGAAATACTTTTTAAAAATATTTTTTATCTGAGGGCTGGGGTAGAGTGTAACGCCCTGAGTTCATAGGGATGAGGGTCATGGGCAAAAAAACCCTCAAAATGATAAAGTAAGATCTCATTAAACTTTATCAAAGAAATTAATAAGAAATCTTACTGGGCTAGGGATTTAGCTCAGCAGCACCGCACCTGCCTTGTAAGCACAAGGTTCTGAGTTCGATCCCATCCCCCCACCCCATACACCTCCCCAAAAAGAAACCTTACTAAAGGCAGTTTTTGCCTCTACTGGTTGACTATAGTTCAAGCAATTAGAAAGGCAAACGAGGGAGAGAGGAGAGAGAAGCTAGATTTAGGCTCCAGGTAACACAATTACCATAAGGATTTATCAAGAAGAATTAAAAGAACACTAAGGAAGCCAGACACCTAAAAGACCAAGAAAACCAGCTCCTTGGATTCTGACCCAGGCCTGTAATACTACTGGCTGGTATCTTGGTATGCCCCTCCTCAGCCTGAAGCAGTTACTGAAGATGGACCATTAGCCTTCTGCACACCCTTAAGAATAAGGGACAAAAAAAAAAAAAAAAAAAAAAGAAGAGACCAAGGGGCAGGGTGAGGAAGGAGAGATGAAATAAAGTTATGCCAGGGATTTAGCTCAGTGGTTCTGGCGCCTGCCTTGCAAGCGCAAGGTCCTGAGTTCAATCCCCAGTACCCCCCCCAAAAGAAATAAAGTTAAGTGGAAAGGACACAAAGAATAAAAATTTTAAAAATTGTACTTGAAGAAAAACTGTATAGGGGCCGAGGATTTAGCTCAGTGGTTCCGTTGCCTGCCTCTCAAGTGCAAGGACCCAAGTTTGATCCCCGGTACCAAAAAAACAAAACAAAACAATAAGAAAAGCTGTAGCTTCAGAACACAAGTGAGGTTTATTTGCTTTCTTCCCTTCTCCCCAAACAGTAGACCTGGGCAACTCTCTTTCTACTGCACCCACGAAAGGACCACCCTTTTGGCATTTCCCACAGGAATAGCTCACTAATGGTGGGCCATGCTCTCCCCCCTCTAAGATTAAGACTGAGACTAAGACTATAGATTATCGAATTCTACAGATTCCCACCTACAAAAACACATAAAAGATCCCCCGTTCCCAACTGCACAGTGCCTATTTCTTTGAGCACCTACACTCTGCTTGAGTTCGTCCTATATCTTCCTCTAATAACTCTTTTTTTTTGCCTTTTTTTCAGGTACCGGAAATCGGACTCAGGGCCTTGCTCATGAGAGGCAGGCACGGTGCCACTGAGATAAATCCCCGGCTCAAGACTCATATTTTGTGTGTAAGACATGCTTGCACCCCCTCCATCCATATACCCATGTATGTTCCCACTTTCACATCAGTATAGTATCGCATCAGATACACACATGTACACATGTCCCTTTACTTAACTATTAACTTGAAGTTACTGTTCTATGAGCCTCCCCCCATACTTACCTATCACAAAGGGACAGAAAAAAAACTGCCAGTCCAGGCAGACATGCCTAGGTCAGGATCCAAGATAGCCAAGAGAGCAAGTCAGATGGTGATAACTTTCAGGTACCCATATGGGGGATGGTAAAGGACTAGTCCTAATTAAAGGGAGCTAAAGACAAAGATCCACGAGTGTTTCACTTTTGAATATTCCCTGCTCATCCAGAGTTGCTGTCATCTCTTTCTCTTCCACCTTTCCATACCTTTAAATAAATCCTCCTATCTTATTTTATTTTTTTTTTTTGGTACTGGGGATCGAACTTGGGACCTTGTGGTTGCAAGGCAGGCGCGGGAACCACTGAGCTAAATCCTCGGCCTGATCCTCTTAAATTCTGCTTTTTTAGTTCTTTACTGATGTAGGGTTTAAGATTGCCAGCAGCTGGGTTCTCCAGCAGAGCAATGGCTTGCTGTCCACCCCTGGACGGGACAAGTTTAATCCCCAATGCCACAAACAAAACCAAACCAATATAAACTATCGGGCGTGGTGGCTTGCTCTGGTAATCCCGTTACCCACCACTTCGGTTCATAAGCACAGGTTTGTTTGCTTGCTGTTAAGCAAATCAAAGGCAGACATTTATTCTTATTAGTAAAAAGAAAAAAGAGTTTATTCAAAGATAGCTCCAAGGAGATGGAATGTCTGTTTTGCTTTAAATCACCATTCCCCTGTGTACAGGTGCATTGGGTCTTTTATATCAAAGGACAACGGGGAAGAGAATGCAAAGAACCTATAGATAAGTTCAGGCTTGTTTCATTCCTTCAGAGGCAGAGACTCTGCCTCCCTTGCCTAAGAAAATGAAAGTGAGCTTGACCGACCTCTTGGTGCCAGCATCTGCACATTCTGTCCTTTCCTCTGGGCTGAGAAGTGGGGGAGCCGCTGTTTATGCCCTAGGCTTGAGGAAGTTTGGAGAGGTCAATTATATCCAAAGGAAAAAAAAAATCTTAACTTTTAAAATTCCATTTTATGGTGTGGGTTACAGTGCCTGACTAGCTGGAAAGCTGAGGTGGAGGAGTGCTTCAGCCCTGGTAGTGGATGCCAGTGTCTGGCCAACACAGAAGCTGGCAAAAAAAGATTAAAAATATTTACGTTATAATGTTCCTTTTGCCCTCTCCAATAAAGCACATTTTTTTTTTTTTTGGTACCAGGGATCAAACTCGGGACCTTGTGCTTGCCAGGCAGGCGGCAGCACCACTGAGCTAAATCCCCACCCCAAGCACTTTCTTTTTGTATGTTGGTGGGAGCATAAAATTTTCAAAGCTGGGAGCTTTGATGAGTGATGCACAACATTGTCTTCTGTGCTGTCCACACTGTTCGAGTTTGACAAAGGTCAACATCTTTGTGCAGTTTGTACAGTATATCTTTTATGTAGTAGTTTTTGTTTCTTGAGCTCTTGTTGGTTCCTTGAAATCTGTTAGGTTAAGGAAACAGAAGGAAAATAAAAACAGGTGCACTACAGGGCCTTGGCACGCTGAAACCTTAATCCGGAGAGAACCGGTTAAGCCTTCAGAGATTGCAAGGGAGGGTGTGCGTGACTGCAGGCAGAGCCAAGAAAGATAAGTGCCTGGTGTAGGGCAGAGCGAAAATAAGCCTCGGAGGGAGGACGCCCAGCGATGTCTGGGGGAAGCAGCTATCTCGCGTCCTCTCATCTGTCCCATCCCAGTAAACTTGGCCATCCCGGCCTGCGATGGATGCAAAGAACACCCAGGGCCAGTGCCACCCTCTCCCCGCAGGGACGGGTCGGTATCACCGCGCCAAGCGGAGGTGGCACCGCGCGCAGGGAGAGGCCGCAGCCGTCTGGGCTGCATAATTGATGCGGAGCGCGTCTCAGGGGAGGAGGCGGCGCCGGCCCCTCCCCCGGCTTTTCCGGCCTGCGCGGCGGAGATCCGCTCAGAACACCGGCCGCCGGCGAGGTGTGGAGCCGCAGCCGCTTCGGAACCGCAGCAGCCCGCCGGCGCCATGGTACCTAGCCCGGCGGAACTCGGGGCGCACGGGGCGCGCGCGGCCCGGCCGCTGCTGCTGCTGCTGCTGCTGCACCTCCTCGCCGCGGGAAGCGGGGGCGCGGCGGACGGCGGCCCCGCAGGTGGGGTGCTGGCGGGCGCGGGCGGGGTGCGCGGCTCTAGGGCGAGATGCGTGGCTCTCGGGCGGGGCGCGCGGCGCGGTCCCCACGGCCAGGGCGGCGGCCGGGGACGGAGCGCTCTCCGCAGTCGGCTGCCGCCCAGGTCAGGGTTCCCCGGGGGAGAGCTGGTGGGTGGGCTGTGGCCGCCGGCGTAGCCTCTGCCCGGGCGGAGCGATTTCAGAATCGTCTTTCTCCGCGGCCAGGCCAGCTCCCTTCCAGGATCGAGTTAGGCTCAGTTGCCACCTCTTCTCCTCCTGGCAGGTGTTGACTGCTGGGGATGTATCGTTAATAGCGGAGGAGAAAAAGCATCATAGCTAAACAACATGTCAAGCCAAGACCCCACAACTTGCAGGATAATATGTGTGTTATCTTTTTTTTTTTTTTTTTTTTTTTAAATCATGGTCTTTAAAGACAATTTTTTGTGCTGGTTGTTTATTTGACCGGGGAATTCATGTACAAACATGACCGAAGCCAAGTCCAGTTTTGCCGTTTTGGCCTCACCTGTTCGTAGTTACTTTTTGTGTGGAAAGCATTTCATTTAACCTGTTTACAAGTTTCTGGGATAATAAATCTCTGGAGCATCTAGTAAGGCTAAGGGAACACCGCTACCTCTCAAGTTAGGAATGACTGGTTACCAGGAACTAAGATCAGGGCGCTGTTCTACACAAAGGTTTTTTTAGCTTTTCCTGGGGATTGATTGATTGATTGATTGATTGATTTAGAAACAGTGTCTCCCTTTGTAGTTCAGGCTGGCCCTGAACTCACTATGTAGCCCAGGCTGGATCCTCCTGCCTCAGCCTCCCAAGTGCTGAGATCGCAGGCGTGCTCCACCACACCCAGCGAGAATTTATTTTTATCAGTTTATAGAGTAGATTTTTTTGGTAACATTGCATAAAGAAAAGATAATCAAAGGGTGAAACTACGAAAAAGGTTTAGTTCACATGGAGAAAATGTTATGGGATATTTCCGTCTTTAAGTGTCTGTGCCCCTTAATCTCTCTTTATACCACTTAAAAAGAATTGTCCAGAACATTTTACTCCTGGGAATACTTGGTTTTTCTCCCCTCATTCACCCACAGAGACTCACCTTGACACTTTGAAGGTTCTTTCAATTAAGGGAGAAGTTAAAATATCTTTATAGGGGAGGAATAATGTGCAAATGGGACTATTTCAAAATCGCTGTTATTACTGTTACATGGAACAAATTAGAGGAATTGAGTTTTTTTATTTTTTGAAAAATATTTGCAGTTGAGTCCTGTGAAATTAGCATTTTAAGTTCCAGAGGACATGATTGATCAATCCCATTCCCTACTCGTTTCTCCTACAGAAACTGCCTAGGAATAAATATTTTGAAATTGCTTTCAAGAGCCCACACTACCTGATATTGTATTAGTCTACCTCAGAAATGCTAACAGTTTTTATCTTTGAAGACCTTTTGTTGGGCCGGGGATTTAGCTCAGTGGTTTTGCCGCCTGTTGCACAAGTGCAAGGACCAGAGTTTGATCCCTGGTACCAATTTAAAAAAAAAGACCTTTTTTTGGTACCAGGGATTGAACTGGGGACCTTGCACTTACAAGGCAGGTGCCAGTGAACTGCTGAGCTAAATCCCCCGGCTCTAAAGACCTTTTTTTAAAAAACAAATTTTAAAGTGAGTGTTGATTGTTTATAATTTTTGTTTTGCATTTTTTTTTTTTTTTTTTTTTTTTGGTACCAGGGATCGAACTCGGGACCTTGTGCTTGCCAGGCAGGCAGCGGAACTACTGAGCTAAATCCCCAGCCCTCTAGTTGATTTCTTGATAATAGCCATTCTTTCTGGAGTGAGATGTAATCTCAGCATTGTTTTAATTTGCATCTCTAGAATGACCAGTGATTTTGAACATTTTTTCACATATTTGCTGTTTTTCATCTGAGAAGTGTCTGTTATTTCAGATCTCCATTTTTGGATTGGATATTTATATAAGTACCTCTTGCTAACCGATTGCGCCACTGGAGCTCCTGGATTGGGTCTTTAAATTTGGGGAGGATCTGATGTTTTTGAGTTCTTTATATATTCTAGATAGTAGTCCTTTGTCTGATGAATAGCTGGTAAAAATTTTTGCCCTGCCTATGGGCTGTCTCTTCATTCTGTTGGTGGTTTCTCTTGCTGTGCAAAAACTAATAAGATCCCAGGTGTTGATTGTTTGGGATAGTTCCTGTGCAATTAGGGTTTTGTTCTTAAAGTCTTTGCCTACACCAGTGTCTTTGAGAGTCCTACCTAGTCTATCTTCCAGCACATTTAGTGTTTGTTTTAACATTTAGATCTTTGATTCATTTCAATTTTAGGTTAGTACACGGTGAAAGACAAGGGTGTAGTTTCAATCTTCGGCACGTGGAAAACCAGTTTTTCCAGCACCATTTATTAAAGAGGCTATCTGCCTTCCAGGGAAGGTATGTGGCCCCTTTTTTAAAGATAAGGTGGCTGAGTGTGTTTGGACTTGTTTCTGCATCTTCTAATCTGTTTCATTGATTCTCCAGTCTGTTTTTTTTTGCCAGTTCCATGCTGTTTTTTTGGTACTGGGGATCGAACTAGGGTCCTTGTGCCTTCAAGGGGCAGGTGGTGGAACTCCATGCTGTTTTTATCACAGCAGCTTTGTAGAATAATTTCAGGTCAGATTGTGATGGTCCTTGCTCTGCCTTTATTGTCCAGAATTGCCTTTGCTATCTTAGGTCTCTTCTGGTTCCAAATGAATTTTAGGATGAATGGACCCACGACTTACGCACTGGATTGGTTCCCAAGGGCTGGTTGCAACTGTCAATACAGCTGAGTTCTGGATGTTTACCTAGGTACACACTATAGATAACAAAAGGCAGATGAATCTTCCGTTAACCTAACTAACCCAAGTTGTTTGTGTGCCAGGCCGGTTGTAACTTGAGGGTCCACTGTAACTCCTCACAGAATTCTTGTAAGTACAAAGAAGAAAAGTAATTTTAGAGCAGAGAAGGCTGAGAAACACCACTTTAATCAGACAATTGGAAGCTGAGACAGGAAGACTGCCAGGACTTCAAGGCTAGCCTGAACTATATAGTGAGACTGTCTCAAAAAAAAAATCAAGGTGCAAAAAATATTGATAGGACAGTCAGAAGAGCACAGCCATTCTTTGGTGATATATTTGCCCCAAAGTGCCTCCCCCAAGTGTATGTAATTCATGTTACAATAGAACTCTCCTGGATTTTCTTAAGTGCCACGGTCACAAAAGGCAGGAGGGCCTGGAGCAGCTCCAGAGTGAAGGAGACTGAGGGACCTGGCAGCATATGGCAGCATGAGCTTCTGCGCTGGATCTTTTGCTAAAAAGTGTGTCACAGGGAGACCTGGCTGAAGTATGGAAATGAGCTGGTAGTATGTAAATACCAGTTCCTTGATCTGCATGCAGGGTCTCCATGATGTCGTGATATTTCCTTTGTAGAAAATACACAGCACTATCTTAGGCCCACTGATCGTGAGGCTGGGATCTTCACTCTCCCATAGCTCAGTGGAAAAAAAAGGTTCTGCTCTTGAAATTTTTGTTAATTTGAGATTATTTTTAGAGAAACAAAAAGAGTCCAAAAAGCTTGATTTAACATAAGGAACTAAACTAAACCAATAGTTGAGAAATGATTAATGGTTTATGTCCTTTGGTATCATTTTCCAAAGAATTATACATCTTTAAGCAGAAACAGATTGTATATGTTGAGTCTGTTTGTTCTAGATTGAAATCTTTTGATTCTAGATGTATAGAGTTTATTTCATATTTCACAAAATAAGGTGAACCTTAGAAATAACAACTTAGGATACATGAACTGACGTAGAAGGTATAAAATCTTACACAGTTTTATTAAAAATAAACTGTTAGGGCTGGGGATTTATCTCAGTGGTTCTGCAGCCTGTTTCGCAAGCACAAGGTCCTGAGTTTGATCCCTGGTACCAAAAAAAAAAAAAAGACAAAAACTGTCTATTCCTAATAAGACATCATCACTCTTAAAGCATAACAAAATAACTCAGTAATATTAGTATAGAAATCATAAGTGTTATCATTAAAAATGATGCTACACTTTTCATTTGAAAATGACATTTTTTTTCTGGTATTTTTAACGTTATTAAGATATCATAACTAATCATCCTTAATCCTAAAACAGCCTTTTTACAAAAAAAAAAAAAATCAGTTTCTCAACTTTGGAATCATTGCCATTGTGGGCTGGAAAATTACCATAGGGCTGTTAACTGTGGGAAGTTTCACTTAAACTTTTTTTTTTTGGTACCAGAGATCGAACTCGGGACCTTGCGCTTGTGAGGCAGGCGGCGGCACCACTGAGCTAAATCCCCAGCCCTTGTGGGAAATTTTATAGGTCTGAAAAAGCACACATTGTGCTTCTCACTAGGCATTTAAAAAAATTTATAAAAGGCCTTGTTGTGCAATAGTTGCCATATTGTGTAAAAAATACCAGTTCCTGTCTGAACTGCTACCTGTCTCTGACTTATAAAGCCTGACATAATGGCCTCATTAGGATAACTTACTTGTGTTTTCTTGAAAGATCATCTTTTCTCTTTTCTTCTTTCTTGACAAATTCTCTCTGGAGTACAGTGTCCAGAACTCAAAGTAGCCTTATTCGTCTTTTCCCTTCTACTTCTATGGTCATAGACGGAGCTTGGAACACTATTCCTAGAACCCGGAAATACAATTCTAAGTACATTGTTTATAAGGAATATTATAATTGGTAATTAGATATTTTAAGCTATAGGTTAGCCATATCATGGCTTAAATGCTTTTGCCATGTGGCATAAGATCTTATGACTATAAATAATATTGGTTCCATGAAAAAAATACTCAGACCTGATTTATAAGTAGTTATATCTATTCCTAAATTGTAGAGTTTTAATAATTGGGTGGCACATTTATCATGCTATGTATAGTAAGATTTGTTAAAATAATTTTAATCATGAGTACTGACTGGAAGAAACATACAGATGTGATATATTTATTTTTAATAATGACTTTACACTTCTATTGGTGTATTTATGGTGTTCAAGTGTGTGGTCCTGGGGATCACACCCGAGGACTTGTACAACTGAGCAAGATGAACTACACACTCCGCCTGACTAAGCAATTATGGTGACTTTTTCTGATTTTGGCCCCATCACCCAATATTTATACAACTTTGCTGATCTTTTTTCTCTTATGAAATGAATTTTATGATGGAGACATACTGTTATCAAAAAACTGAGCTGGGAAATCATGTTTTGAAGCCCCAAGTAACTGGCAGAACTTGGATTAGGATACAAATTCCTGCCTTTCCATTTTATTCTTCTTTTTGTGACTCAGCCCAATACTTTCTTGGAACTATTCAGATCACATCTGCTTGAACTCCTGTTAATTTTCTTCTGCTGGCTGTCCTACTGAAAGCAATAAAGTTTACATTCTCACTTTTTTGATTTAAAGATTATCTCATCCAAACAAATAATTTCTCATTTTTACTATTCTAGCACCTCCTGCCCTTCTCAAGGCATTTGCATATATTGTTTCATAAAGGTGCTTTTTCCAAAGCAAAAAAATCTCAATGTTGTACATGTTCTTTAGCACTTGTTCAGTGGAAACTGGAGACTGATGAAGATTGATCTTTTGAAGGGAATATAAAGTTAAGTACAAGCAGTGTCAAGTTTATGGCTATCTGATGGTAATTTTAAGTGTAAACTGGCAATTGGAAATGGCCAGAACAACTAATATATCCTGGAATTAGCCCTGTTTTTTTTTCCTCTCTCTCCTAGTCCTTCAAATGCTTTAAGCTCAGATTTTGCCCAACAAAGCTTAGACCCCTTTGCTCTCTTTGTACTGATGTGGATCCTACATGGGTTCTCCCGTAACAGGTGCTGGTGCTGAGCAAAGGTAAAGTAGCCCAGCTTCTGCTCATCTCGGCATTACCTTCGCCCTCATCCCGCCTCCAGAGCTGGGCTTCACACTGCAGCTTGCAGGACAACTTGCACTCCTCTGAAATCCTAACGACTCCCCATCACAAATGGTGGCCCACACAGCTATTGTTACGATCTATGAAGTCTTTTAGGACCAAGATTTTTTTTTGTACCAGAAATCGAACTCATGACATTGTGCTTGCCAGGCAGGCACGTGGGCACCACTGAGCTACATCCCCGGCCCTTTTAGGACCAAGCTTACTCAGCTTTTTTACTCCTTTCACTGTCAAGCATGTATCAGGTACTTTATATGTTCACTTGTTTAAGTGAAATTAGAGTGAGAATAATAGCATTTTTTGGTTTAGCTTATGCCATTCTCTCAGTGATAGTGTGAATAATAATAAATGCTGCTGGACACTCTCAAAAGGGTTATGGACTTATATCAGGAATGAGAAGGGTAGTGAGAGCCCTCATGAATGTACTTTGTTCTGTAGTAGCTAGGCCAAGAAAGGAGGACTCCCTAGCAAGGAAGCAAAGGCAGCAAAGCTCATGGTTTGCAGACTTTGCAGATCAGATGATACACAGACTAGTTTGTCCCTTCTCACTGCCCCCCTTGGCTTCCTGTTCCCAAAGTGAGCCACATTTGCCTTAATCTTCCTGAGATATATATATATTTTTCTTTAATAGATCCTTTTAAGAGGGCTAAACCCAGTAATGGAAAAAAAGTTTTTATTATGAAAATAATTTTGTTGGGGGACCTTTTTATCTCTCTGTGTGTGTGTTTATGTTTATGTGTTGCAAGGGTGGGGAGAGGATATGAAGATGAACATGAATGTGAATGAAAGAATACTGGACATGGATGGAAGACAGGTTTTCTGTTTCTCAAGCCCAGTAAGAAACTCAAGACATTTTTCTTTGTAATCAATGTCAGAGATGGAATGATTTAAGCATGTTTTTGTATTATAAGAAGGTGCATTCCAGGTTCCAAAGCTGTATTAGAGGTGATTAAGCTTAAGCCTTTGGAACACAACCTACCTGTAGAATTATATTCTGCTAGGTGCATGTTTGTATTAGATAGTGTTGTAAAAGCCATGTGAAAACCAGTCAGTTTTTATACCTTTAAGAAAAGGATTGGAAATCTAATCTTGCACTAAGAATAACTTTCTGAACAGAGTAGTATTCTTTTAAGTGCAACAAAAAAGGTTCGGATTTAATTTAAATCAAATGGAAGAAAAAAAATAAATCAAATGGAAGATTTTTAAAATGTAGTTAAGTTAAAAAAAAAATGTAGTCAAGGGGCTGAGGATTTAGCTCAGTGGTGCCACTGCCTGCATTGCAAGCGCAAGGTCCTGAGTTCCATTCCTGATACAAAGAAAAAAAAAAGTAGTTAAGATTACAATAATAAATCCTTTTCCTTTTCTGACTTGGTGGATGGAGCTGGGTTTGTTTTTGTGAGGGCTAAGGTCTGGTGCTCTAAGTCAAAGGAGTAGTATTATAAAAACAGAAACAAAAAACACTTTGTGAACAGGGACAGAAAATGAGAATTTAGAGGAAGGGGCTATGTGAAGAAAGTGCTCCACTATAACCACAGGTAGAAAATGAAGAACAGCACAATTCACTATGCAGCCATTTTGTCTTCTGTGACCCCAGTGGCCAGAGCTTTCTATTCAGGTTATTTCCTCATGCCCTTTATTAATAGAGTTCCCTTCATCCCTCTTTGTTCTCTTTTCTTCTCTGTTTCTTCCTGCCTTTCCCTTTTGGTCACTATTATCTAATTCCTCAGTGTTTTCATTTATGTTTTGTAGATACTAATTGTAGAATTAAATACAGTGAAGTTTTTAATTGAAGAAAAAAGTCAGAAATTTTTAGGTAAATACGGAACATTGGGGAAATACCCAGTAATTTGGTCATATTTAATAGTCCAGTATATTTTTGAACCATATAAGACTTAAGAGCTTCCTGAAAATTATTTTCCATAAAGAGTACACACTAGCATTTAAGCTGTTGCTATAACTGGCTTTCAGATAGCTGTTTAGTCTTGATGAGGATGTGTAACCCATTTTCTTTCTCTTACAGATTCACCTTTTACAAGTCTACCTGTTCGAGAAGAAATGATGGGAAAATACTCTAATCTTTCTTTGGAGAGTCATAACATATCACTAACTGGTAAATGTCACATATTTCAAATGCTACAATGCTAAAATTAGTTTGTTTGTTTTTTTAAAAAACTAAGCCACTGTTTTTTGTCTCACAAGTACCAATCTCCTTTCATGGTCTGATGGGAGAAACATGTCAATAACTTAAACACAGCATGATAGATTGATACATGAGGACATTGGGCCCCAGGTTCAGGGAGGACAAAGCTATTTCAGACCTGGTTGGGTTAAGGAAGCCGTGTTGGAAGAAGGACATCTAGAAGGGGAGGATTAATTTTGATTTGCAGATATTCTTAATGTTTTTTGTCAGTTCCTGCTGATACATCCAATAATTCTACTCTAGATGGAGAAAATTCACGTATTTACTGGGAAACCTTCACCCAAAGCAAATGATGATGGTATCAAATCAGTCAATGACAGTGTTGTGGGCAAGCAAGTGAAGAATTCTAAAATTAAACTCAAGTCTGCTTTTGTCGTGTTGGCTTTCACAGCTGTGGATTCCAGTATTTCAAAAGTAATTGCACAGTTCTTTAATCTGTTTCAGTAACAATATTAAAATAGAATTGTATAATTAGAATTTGAAGTATTTTAAATCTGTTTGTTAAATCTGGAACTAGTATTTTTTTTTTGGTACCAGGGATCGAATTTGGGACCTTACGCTTGTGAGACAGGCAGCGGCAGTACCACTGAGCTAAATCCCTGGCTCTGGAACTAGTATTTTCTACTTTTATGTCCAATTGTTAATTGCTTCCAGTCTTAGGTTCTTTACTTCTGTTCATATGACTAGAAGGAGTGGAGTGAGTATATGTGTGTTCTTAGTTTGAGGCCAATGGAATGTTTGCAGTGAGCTTTTTGATAGAACGTTATTATAATTTTGTGTAGCTCTTGTTTGTCTCCAAGTGTCTCCTTTCCAATATTTGGAATGTATTCTTTTTTTAAAAGTTTTTTGAGACAGAGTCTCACTTTGTAGTTCATGCGGGTCCTGAACTCACTGTATAGCCCAGCCCTGGCTGGCTTTGAACTCTTGGTGATCTTTCTGCCGCAGCCTCCTGAGTGCTGGGATTACAGATGTGTGCCACCACGCCCGACTTGCAATGTATTCTTGTAAAAAAAAAAAATGACACCATTTCTGTGTTGGTACTTGTTCTCTTATTTTTTGTGTGTTCTGTTGGTTGCCTCCTTCAGAGGAAGTGCTTCAAGAGAATTTCTTGTGCTGGGCCAGGGATTTAGCTCAGTGGTTCTGCCACCTGCCTTGCAAGTGAAAGGTCCTGAGTTCAATCCCCAGTACCAAAAAAAAAAAAAAAAAGTGTTTCATGTGGACACATAAGGCTGCAGTTTCTTTGACCAGTCTGGCAGTATGGGCAGCAAGGCACCCCCTGCCTTACCCAGGACAGCCTAGGAACAAAAGGTCTTTGCTCAGGGCAAGAGCAAAACATGGCCCTTTAAACTGATGCCAGGTTGAATATTTACTTAATCCCCAGGTTGGAAGATTTAAATCCTAGCTGCTCTTTTGTTGTAATAATGCAATTAAAATCAGTTTTGTCACCGTTATAAATAGAACAGTTGTTCACAGTTGCCCATTATTTACCTGCTGCCTTGATTGGCCTGAACTTCAGCCTGGCTTTTCTCTTTGTCATGGACCCCTGAACTTCAGCTTGCCTCAAGTCTGAGTAAGCACAAAATGCAGATCATCTGAGAATCCATGGCACAGCCTGATTTCGTTGTCTTCGTGCACTCACCTGTGTGCCCTGTTTCCCACAGAAGTTCTGCTAGTCTGCTTGCCCCTTCCTGTAAAGGAAAGCCCTTTTTCTGTTTGGTTTTGAAGCAGTTAAAGATCTTAGGGCTGGGGATTTAGCTCAGTGGTTCCAGCTCCTGTCTCTCAAGTGCAAGGTCCTGAGTTCGATCCCCGGTACCAAAAAAACAAACAAAACAAAAAAAAGATCTTAAGTGTGAAGCTTTTTTTCCCTGCTAGAGTCTTTCTGAAATAGTCTTTTTAAAGTCTTAATTTGTTTTTATTTGACAAAAGAAAAGCTCCAATATTAATTTTGAAGTACTGGGTCCTTGAAATGAACCAGGAGTTTCATTTTCACTTAGGATCACTGTTGTGGTTGCTTTGCCTTCAAAAAGTTTGATTTTAGCCAGGCGTAGTGGCTTATGTGATGCCAGTATTCTGTGAAGCTGAAGCAGGAAGGTCACAAGTTCGAACCTATCCTGAGCAATTTAGTGACTTACTGAGACCCTGTCTCAAAATAAAAAATAAAAAAGGACTGAGGATGTAGCTCAGTGTGAAGACCCTGGGTTTAGTCTCTAGTTTTGTCTTAGGAGCTATGTGTACTTGAATATAGAATCACAATTTTTTTTTTTCTGGTACTGGGAATCAAACTCAGGACCTTATGCTTGTCAGGCAGGCTCTACACACCATTGAGCTACAACCTTGGCCCTAGAATCTCAGTTTGAAGGCATACTTTTTTTTTTTGAAAAAAACCCCGGGATCAAACTTGGGACCTTGCGCTTGTGAGGCAGGCGAGGCAGGCACGGAACCACTGAGCTAAATCCTCGACCCTGAAGGGATACTTCTGATTGTCCGGAGCCATAGCTTGCTTCTTTTTTTTTTGGTATTGGGCATTGAACTCTGGATATTGCGCTTACGAGGCAGGCGCCAGAACCACTGAGCTAAATGCTAAATCCCCGGCCCCATAGCTTGCTTCTTATTGCTGCCATTAGGATTTTTTTTTTTTGGGGGGGGGTACCGGGGATCGAACTTGGGTCCTTGCGCTTGCGCAGCAGGCGACGAAACCACTGAGCTAGCCATTAGGATTTTTAATCTACTGCTTCATGGATAGAATGCTTTTATATAGTCACACCATTTAATGCGCCAATACTGAGTTTACCATTACTATTTGTCAGTATACACTTCTTAGAACATTGCTATATTGTGTCTTAGTATTTCTTCTTTCTCTCTGCCCATTTTAGAAGCAGAGCTTTATGTTAGGTTAAAATGTTTCTTGTAGAGAGATTCAAGTAGTTAACTTAGTTAGAAATTTTAGGCCAGAATGACAACCTTGGCTGTCCTTAAGGGGAATGAAGCACTTGGGGCTCTGTGCCTGGGAGAGTGAAAAACATGGTCTTGCATTCAAAGGGCCTGGAGATTAACTTATTTAATATTTTAGAAATGTTATTAATTATTAAACTCATGCTATTGACTGTGTGGCACATACATATTTTTTTTTTTTTTTTTTGGTACCAGGGATCGAACTCGGGTCCTTGCGCTTGCGCAGCAGGTGGCGAAACCACTGAGCCAAGTCTCCGGCCCACATATTTCTAAATATAATTGATTTTCATCACAACCCTATGAGGTTGAGTACTGTTATTATTTGTAATTTTCAGGTGGGAAAAGAGGAGCTCAAGGAGGTTAAATGAATTGACCAAGATCACAGGTGTTAAATTGGAAGTGGGTTTTGAAGATAAGTTTTGTTTTGTTTTTGGTACTGGGGATTGAACTCAGGACCTTGTGCTTTCAAGGCAGGCAGCGGAGCCACTGAGCTAAATCCCTGGCCCTTGGAAGCGGGTTTTGAGCCCAGGCAGTCTGGCACCAGAGTCAGTGCTAGTAACTATTATTCTACCTCCACCTCTATCAGTAATCGAACTCAGGGCCTTGCACTTGCCAGACAGGTGCTATGCTGCTGAGCTAGCTTACACCCCCAACCCTCTGCAGCCTTTGTTTTATTTTTTGGTACCGGGGATTGAACTTGGTTGGGTCCTTGAGCTTGCGAGGCAGGCAGCACAACCACTATGCTAAATCCCCAGCCCAACTGCAGTCTTTTTTAATGCTAGGAAACTCATTTCTTTTTAATGGCATTGTTAAAACAATTCTGCCTTTTTAAGTAGGCATATTAATTTTCAGTGACATTCAAAACCTATGAAAATAAAGCTGTATTAATTGCCTTAACCCCAAGTAGCTTAGTCTTCCAAATTCCATTTGTTGAATAATGAATGTGTGAAAATACAATTGCCTTAACTAGGACTAGAAAGTTTTCTTTCTTTCTTTCTTTCTTTTCTTTCTTTCTTTCTTTCTTTCTTTCTTTCTTTCTTTCTTTCTTTCTTTCTTTCTTTCTTTCTTTCTTTCCTTTCCTTTCCTTCCTTCCTTCCTTCATTGTGTTTCTAAAACAGATTTTTAAAAAAATGAAAACTTTTACATCACTTTTCTAAGTTTTCCATTGTCTATAAGATTTGAAGGTTTGTATTACCACAATTAAAGAGTCTCTGCTTTGATAAATTTCAATGTCTGTTTTCCCTCTGCATATTGTACTGTTTAGTGTCTCAATAGTGTGTTATAGTTTAACCAATGTAATTAAAATCAAAACATCAGCCAGCAGTTTTCTTGACCAGCCTGGTGACGTAGCCATTGGCTTTTATTTTGTTGACCCAATGGCAAGATGTATTTACCAGCTGAGATGTGGACAGCTGACCTTCCAAGGTCCTGGTGGGGGAGGAGGCAGCATAAGCAGACGTTGGAGGTGCAGATGTGCAGTTGAAGCTTGGTGTGAGGTTTGGGAAAATGAGTCAGGAGAAGGAAAGACAGTCACATTGCCTAGACAGTTAGGCAAGAGGTGTGGGTTAGTACCACGTGGGTTTTAGGATCAGGTGATGGAGAAGACCCTTGCAGGAGAAGACCCTTGTACAGAGAATGTGTCCAGTGAAGTGTGTTGTTTTTTCAGAGGCAGTTTTATCAAACCAGGTGTGAAGATTATCGATGAATAGAGAAGAAAGATATGAGTCCAGGGAGTGAAAGAGAAGATAGAACAGGGCTCCAGCTCAGCAGTACAGGCAGCTTTTGTTTTCTCCAGAGTTCTTCAGCAGCAGCTTTATGATGTTTTGGGCTGGATAATCTTTATTTTGGGGGGCTGTCTGGGGGCATTGTATGGTGTTTCACAGCATCCTTGGTTTTTTTTTTTGGTACTGGGGCTCGAACTCGGGACCTTGTGCTTTCAAGGCACGCGCCGGAACCAC